GAATTGGATGCAGATCCACTGTCCTACAGTAGCATTTTAAAAGGGATTTAGGTGCCTAAGCAGGTACATATATATCTGTCTTAGAATGAACTACTGGGTTTAGAAGATTCCCCGCGCTTGAACAAAGGACGTACTCATGGTTGTTTTCACCCTTGCAAAGCTTTATTTAAGGATACTTGCAGAGGCAGGCAATAGAACATAGTAGAGAGTACTGTCACTTCACAACGGCCGTAGGCGGTAGCCGCCACCCCGCATGGTTCCCCTGGCCCCGGAGTGTCCTGATCCCAGGGATGTGATAGCCTGCGCCAGGGCTCCACACAAGTCGGAACTCTTGCCAGAGCTGGGGAACCTATTATAACTTAAGAATATACAGTTTATATAGTCTGGAGTAAACAACGTTATCTTGCGCTAGGGATTTAGTTATCTCAAGTTAGGAATTTGGGGAATGAGTCGTGATCCAACACACCTGGTGTTTACCACATTCCACTGTATTACAACATTCTACTATCTAGGTTCATGGTTCGGTCACGCTCACAGAGCAGGAGGCTACATGCCACTTCACTGGCCTACTATGGAATCAGCGAGCAAAACTCTTGCTATTAGCAAAGCTCTTACTATTACAATATCTCAGTCCATCATGTAGGTACCACTGATATTTCTAAAGCTTTAGGTGCTTCCAACACCAATAGGTGTTGAAGATCCCTGGACAGAGGTACCGCACACACAAGTTACAGAAGATGCTACATTTTGAAACATTTTCATCTAATACTTCATGCAACGAGGGTCAGATTTTCACCAGATTGGCCATTTTTTAAGCAGCCTGCAGCCATGCACTTGTGTTTGGTCAAAACTACAAACTGCTTTCTGTGGCCAGATCAAGCAAAAATTGTCACTTCTGTCTGCACCTCTAAGCTTTTGCCAGTAAATTTTCAAAGCATCCTGAGCACTCCCATCACCTCACAGCCTTGATCAGGTTTTTTAAAGTAGGCAGAGGAATCAACTATCTTGCCAACACAACTTGATCCCATGTGTATGATTAGAGAATACCTGAATGGTTAGAGAACACAACAGGAAGGCTAGATATTAATCTTTGGGGAAGTACAGTATGTTCAGCAAAGGACAGTCAGAGGCAAGGGAAAATGTAGAGCAAGACTAAGCGAGGTATTGACTGTGAGCAAGAAACAGAGAGAATTTGGGATGCTAAGGCTTCCTGAACCACTGATCTGGACTAGCTGCTGAATTCAAGCAGAGAAAGGTGCTTACCTTTGGCTCACCAGTCAAGCATGCTGCATCAGCCATTTAAGATGTGTCTATAAGATCAGTGTAGTACAGTGCAAAGATAAAAAAGCTCCTGTGCTCAACCCATGTTAATATACCTTGTTTTTCATCTAGCTGATACACAAGTAGCTTAGACACAAAAAGCAGTACAGTGTCAACCCCATTTTAGTTAATTATCTCTGCTGAGAAACAGAGCATATTACCCAGGCAAAGATAAGGTGACCATACATTTTGTTTTCACTGGGACAGTCCCAGGCACTCTGTTGGTTTGTTCAAATGAATGCTTTTGTTTTGTTTTCAGACGCTTTCCCACTGGAGCACTTCAAAATGCCACAACTGAATGTAGTGGTGGCACTTTCCAAAGAAGACTAAGGACATGATAGGGGGTGCTACACTTCCTCCATCCCCACTTGCCCCACCTCACACACACATGCACACTATGGCACACTCAGCTAAGAACAAAGCTTGGAGACAGCTGAATGTGCCAGACAGAACAGAGGAAGGGACAACTTGAGTGCTGTGAAATAATGGAAAACCTTAGGTAGCTCCCCCTCTTCCCCCTCACCAACAGTGTTCAAATGTTGAGACTCAGGAAATATGGTCACCCTACGTAAAGCAGAAAAGCTATTTGCTCAGAGCTAGCTCAGAGTATGCAGTATTTTCTGCATGGCACTGCATTGTGCTGGAGAATCAATTTCACATATCTAAGCCTCTCCTCTTCTCCATGGCCTTCCTCGACTCAGCTTTTCACTTCTGGTGAGCTTAGGTAGATCCCTGCATGCACACGGCATCTCTCAGAGTATGTTATAAATGTGTCAGTCCCTTATCACTCTTTTTCCTTAGCCACCTAAATCTAATGTAACAAGGAAAAAAGTATTCACCGACTATTATAGTAGTTTATTTACAAACCAGAAAAATGTATTGATATCTTTGCCATTAGCTGAAAATGTTTCTATTTATGTATTATAATGCACATCTCCATGTTCTTATCTTTCATAGGAAAATTTTGAGCAAATACAATTCAGTTGCTACAGATTCAGTTGCTAGGCAATAAAGGTCCAGGAGCACAAAGGAACTTAGGTATGGGAATGCATATTGTCACCATATCTCATTTTTAGTTTCCCAGGTCTATGAATGGAATTTCTAAATTCTATACGCTTAAGTTGATGACCCTGGAAGTTCAGAGTACTGGGTTCTGGTCCCAGCTCCAATGACTGTTTATGCATTTTGTATTAAAGAGACATTGGATAAAATACATAAACAATGTTGGTACCAAGGACAAGAATCTCCCATGCTCCACTCTCTAGGGAGTGCCTTAATCACTGGGCTTCTCACTCTGACTCTTGCATTTTGAGTTTTTCTGTGACATGGCCACAACAGGAGAGAGAGAGAAAGCTCCCATTTCAACCTTGCCTCTAACCTGGTCCATAGAAGTGAGAGATACAGGCTGAACCCAGGTGTCCTACTTCCAAGGCAAATACTATAACCATTAGGCTATTATGTAGTAAGACTGGCAGTACCATCACCACCACCTCCTCCACTAGTTATGTTTCTAAGTAAAAATTGATGTTGCTGGTGGTGGCTGCATGATAGCACCTGCAGGCATGCACTAGACAAAATTGCAGCGGACTTACTAATTTTACTGCAAATATTTGAACACCTACAACCTCTCATTACCTAAGCAGTTAAGTAGAGTGTTTGGACTTGGTCTTAAGCACCTCTAAACTCTACCTGAACTGTACTTTAGGGGCTTACTTGGATCTAACTCAATAGTTCTTTTATGGATCTACCCTCACTGGGTACCCTCACTGGGGTAGATCCATAAAAGAACTATATACTTGAGTGGGTATATAGGGTAATCTGGTTTCAGTGTTTTCCTTTCAACAATTTTCCTTCATCATTTTGAGAAAAGCAGATCAAAGTTAAAACTCCATTTTTGGAAAAAAACCCAAAACATTTCAAAGTTGTTTTCATTTCTATTTGAAACAGGCTCAATTTTTTCAGCATTATTTGCTAAACTTCTTTACTGAAAACATTAGCATGTTATTGATTTTTTCCATAAATTTATTATTTCAATCATTTTTCTCATAAAATCACCAGAAAATGCAAAATGATATGTTTCAATAAAAAAGATCACAACTATTGACACGTTTTCATTAACACGATAACATATTTTTTTCTAATTAAAACCTTGACATTCAAAATTTTGATGCACACTAATTTTATTGAGTATCATTGGTCTCAGCTCTGCACATTGTTAGCCAAAACCTTAGCAATGTAAGACAACTAGACCCCACCAAGTTGAAGGGATTCTTTCCATTTTCAAAAATCATTGGATCAGGATGATGTTGAGAGGCCAATGAGAGTGGAAAATGTTCAACAAGTCTTTAGCACCTCTTGACATCTGGCCATGTGAATGAGGAATTTGTTTTGCATAAGAAAGCACCAAAAGAATATCAGAATGTAATACAGCAATATGTCATCAGTAATGACTGAATCACTTATGGTCAACTGTGAGCACTCAGCACCTTGCAGGAACGGGCCATAATTTAACCAGGTACAGATATTTACCTTGGAAGATAATTCTCTTTCAGTGATGACTGAGGGATTTACCCATGATTACTGTTTTTGTAACAATGTATTCTGTTTGAAATACCGCATTTGGCGCCACACCGCAAAATAACTGCCCAGCCCTCAGATAATGATATGGAAGCTTCAGCTACAAATGCAACTTTCAGGTTCTTGAAGTTCATCTAGTATCTAATTATTTATGTGACATTTAATTATGAAAAAATGGTTAAAAGCTTTTAACAATTAAATGGTTTTAAACCTGCCTTAATAAAATCTGATTTTGTAGTACTAGTTTTCTAAGATCATAATGTGTTTAATGTTCTATTGTGTCACTGCATCAGTTTTACAGATGGAAAAATATTTTATTAATATGATACAGATGACATAACACTCTGGAATTTGATTTATACTTTTAAGAAAAATTACTTTTAACTTGCTTTATTTCCTCATGCATTTAGTCCATTTCTGAATGCTCTGGACTGTATTTTTGTGAGCCAAATTTCTGGTAGCCAAGAAAAAAAGAAAGGAAAGTTTGTAAAACCGAATGAGAGAGGCAATAAAAACAAAGCTATCCAATAATGGCCAGTAATTCAAAGTGCTTTACATTTCAGGTCCTTAAATTAAAGCAGCAGCCAGTCCCTTAAAATTGGGTCTCTAATGTGCCTCAAATTCAGTGTTGAAAAGTGCAGAGCAAAAAGTGATTAGCCACTGCTGTAAGTAATTCCTGTTTAACTAAAACATTAGAGCCCTACATTGTGACAAATAATTTGTGTGTGTGGACTTTTGGACATTCTACGCAATCTATTAAATTTCCATTCAGCTAGAATTTTCCCATGTGTCAATATTTCTATCACTTACTAATTGTTTAATTTTGTCTTGCCTGGTATCTAATTTAAATATAAGAGTAAGTGTATGACACAAGAAGCGTATTTTAAAGTAGTATATTGTTACATACATTATCTCCTTTGCTGCTAGATCAAGAAAACTCTCTAGACCTGTAAGCTGCACTGCAGGGTTCCATTCCATTTTAGCTGTCATTACTGCACACAACATGCAAGGGACAGTCGCAATTACATTAATTTGAATTTTTGAGAGAATATTGGACTACTTACATTTTTGGAAGGTAACGTGCTATTTGCATTGAACATCACAGCAGGATGCGGGAAATACTTCCAACTGCTGTGGATAATCTCATTTGTTGAATACTTCTGGTGTTGTTATAAGTATTCAAATGTTATTTTAAACATCCATTAAGATAGATAAGATTTTTTTCTTGTCTGATTGTGGTCTCAGTAGGATGACAATGCAGACTCTAGTTGGTATTCTGAAGACTGTCTTAGTAAACAGAAGGAATAAAAGATGAATTACATTAACAAGAAAGCTTACACACGGGAACCTACAACTCTCCCCGCTGCTGCTACGGTCATGAAGACAACAATGTCCCCCCTCAACTGCTACTATCTGCCACTGCTGCCCCAGAAGCATCAACTGTCCCTGGGGCCCTTCAGCAACAGCCATTTCTATGACCCAAGCATTAGCAGTCCTGCCACTGCCACAGTAGCTGCAGAAGTGGTCCTGCCACCACACTAAGTAGAGCTGCTGCTTCCCCATGAGAAACACTGCAAATCATGCCCCTAGCTGCACTGCAGCTCTGTTACCAGCAGGCTGTCAAGGAGCCAGCCATTCTCCATCTCTCCCCTCTTAGACTGGTAAGGGATGGAGGGCAAAGTACTCTTCAGTGCCGGGGGACCAAGAGACCCATGCAGCACTACATGTACCTGGACGCACAATACACTTCATGCTTCAAAACACAGCATTCATGAGAAGTTCTTATTTCAAATAGCAAAATTTCTGTAGCATTTGCCGTCATGTTGTAGAGCTACAAAACTGTATTCATGTGTCCCCTCAACTTTTCAGCACATGTAGTGTTACAAATGTTATGTCTGAAGGGCCCAATTAAGCTTGTCTATACTAGTAATATTACATTTTTTTCATGATATACCTCCATTATCTGTGGATTGTTCACGACATAACGTCATTCTTTACTGCAAATGCCATTACGTTGCTCAACCAACAGTAGAATCATGAATAGTTATGGCGAAGAATGGTGGTTGTTGTTAGTAGGGGCATTTACATGAGATGCTTACTGCATTTGCCTAATTAGCTCCACAGTAAAGCATCTCCATCTGCATGTGAGGCACTATTTGATCACAGTAAACTAATAAACTCTGCAGTAGGTTAGTACTGCTCGACACAAGTACTATCCTATGGTGGAGTTATTTACTCTGCTTCAATGCATATGTAAATGGTGACTGGGGCTGGCTGGGGCACAAAGGTGCTACAGTGTGGGGCTGCCTGCTGGCTAGCCCCATACTACAGCACGCTCATGCCCCAGCCAGCTCGTCTGCAGCACAATCCACTCAGAGCAGCCCTGGGCTGGCAGGCTGAACCTCCAGGTCCCCTGATAGTCAGGACTGCACTGCCACAGCTCAATACACTGAGGTCCCAGGTGCACTTGTAAATGCCGCACCCAGAAGCAATAAACTCTGGTGCAACGTGCACCAGAGTTTATTGGATCGTATTAATATTCATGTGTAGACACACCCACAGAGTAGCAGAAAGTGTGTAAACTCACAATTCTGCTAACACTTGGGTGTGTGTTAGTAGAATGTAAGTATACAAGGAGACTGATTCCACGGTAAAGATACACACGTGCTTAAGAATTGGAAAAATCGAGGCCTAAGGGTTGTCATGGTTGTTATTTGTCCAATGTTCTACTGAATAACAGCACTGAGCTGAGTATTGTTAATCTCTTGCCAACTCAATTTCGATGCTATTTCAAGTGCAGATACCAATAAATATTTACATTTAAAGTTGTTTAAATTCTTCCTTTCATATTCAGATGTGTTCATCACTGCTTGCTATATACTCTTCTGTTGCCTTACTTTATTCAAAGTTTTGGCAAGACACAACTCTTTGACTGATGCACAATTTACATAATTACCAATTTTTATATATACAACTTTTTTAGAAAAACTCTTCCCAATATAACATCCATCCACATTTTTATCTGCCTTGAACCATTTTTAAAATGAGTTTGCTTTGCTAATAAAAAAAATAAAAGGAAAGATAAAGTCAGTATTTTCCTTCATTACTTACAGCAGCTCAAAAAATGAATTGTAGTGTTTCACCTTTTTAGATGTGCAGTTAATGTTTTTCCCTCTGCCAAACTCTTTAGAGATAATAAAAATTACATGCTTGTTGCAGACATGCTAATTATGTGCAGTTACTGACAAAAAAAATTGAATCCCTTTTCTGAGGCACCAATGAACACTGCCTTTGGCAAGGAATCTGTGAATTTTATTTTAATTTTCTCAGCAGTAAATTAGAAATATGTTTGAAAACCATTAAGTTTGAAAAACAACCAATGAATCTGATTAATTAGATTGATAGTAGAGTTCCTCCATCTTTCTGTCTTGCAAATGAGGAGAGGAAGATAATAATTCCTTTGCCTTGCATTATATGAGCTAATATTTATTATTTAATAATTATATAACAGTAGCACCTAGAGGCCCCCAGTCAAGATAAGAACCACATTGCAATAGAAGTTTTAGAAACATTTAAGCAGATGTAGTGGAGCAGAAAGAGAGTGATTTTTTGTTTCATTTTTGCTACCCCCACAAGTTATCTGCCACTTCAGTAAAACAGTAAAGGGACTGACAAAGGGAAGGAAGTCATTGCCTAAGCACCCCTGTGCTCCAGCTACCCAGCAACTCCTGAAACATAAAAGAGAGAGATAGCTGGTCACAGTTCCAGAATTGATGCCTGGCTGGTTTTAGGTTAAGAAGTAACCAGGAAGGATTACAGTACTTTTTGTCTTCAGTCCTCCCTGTGATGAACTACAGCAGGACTTTTAGTCCCCAGCTCCCAGCTCTGGTTGTTTCATTGGATAATGGACTTTTATCTTGATTTCCTCAGTGCTGCAGGATTCACATCCCAAGACAAAGTAGAAAGAATCCAAGACACTCACATACACAAATTCATGAATATTTAGTGTCACCTATTATTGGTATAATAATAATTTTTGTAGCAACTTGGAAACCTGATCTATGAGTACAGGACATTTGTCCTCAGAACTCTACCAACAGAAAACAAAAAAGATAGTCCCAGCCTAAAAGGTTTACAGTCTCCTCACAGTCTGTCTTTGCCAACACCATCTCTCTATGGCACAGCACAGTCCTTTTTTTGACCAAAAGAGCTTTAACAGTGTATTCCAAACCAATTAATAGAATAAATAAAGGTAGCTTCCCCCCTTCCCCAGCTTTAGGAGATCTAGCTCCAATCTTATTATATTAGTTCTTTTGAATATTTTTTCTTAATATTACAATCTCTATGAAGCTATAAGCTGCATTTCCTCCTCCAAGTGGATATCATAGCAAAATATGAATATATTAAAATATGAATATTTATTTTTTAAAAGCATGACTATACATATCAAAGGTTGAAAAGCTTTTGGCCACACTCCATAGTTGGGAAAACTGGCAAGAAAGGACAAGGACCTGGTCACAGCCTTTCCCTCTTCAGAAAAGCCAGTGCCGGTAACAATGCTCTGTTGGAGCAGTCTGCACTGACATCAACTTTTAAGACTGAAATTGTGCCTGCCCAATATATACTGAGATGTACAAAAGCGAATGACCTTTCACAGCACCTTTTCTGTTTGCCTCTTGCATCCAATTCCTGCATCTGAACTGGGCAGGGTGCAGATGCCTTTTTCCCCACTTCCCTGCCCCTTTATTAAATACTTTGTTACAATCGTTTCCTTCTCTTCATCGAGTCATTTTTTTTTGGAATGTCTGTAAGGAAGATCAGTAATTCTTTACAGAAAAAGACTTCATTTGCAATTCCCATTACAATATTCAAAGAGCAACAACAAAACCCATAAGGATCTATCCATTTTTAATTATACGTATTGTATAAACAGATTGCTGTTTGACACATGTCATTTAAATTACAAGAAAAGTAGAATGGAAAAGCATTACCTAGTCAATAAACAAAAATACACTTTTTGCTATATTACTATAAACCACTTTTATCTACTCCAATAGTGTTGAAGGAAAGTCAATCTGCAATCTATTCAATTTCAAAATACAAATTAAATGTTGCTGTCTCTATGTTCTCCTGTGGGTTTATAGTCACTTTTTTTCTAAAATGTTTTTCCCTCCCTTGTTGTTGTAAAACAAGCCAAATAATAAAAAAAAACAAACCCTCAACAACTCCCCTCCTCCACACACACAGAAGGGAAGCTATCTCTGACTATACAGAAGAAGAAATGAAATGATTATAATTCAAAGGTGGTTCATACACATAAAGAAAACACACAAGAAAAGAAAAACAGAATGCACCTGTTCTCTACTCCTTTTAAGCTGCATTAATAAAATCTGCAAAATATGTGGTCAGGAGTATATTCTTTAAAGTAACTAATCCCCAGTAAATTTCCATCGAATAAAACTATGAATACTAGAAACTCAACTATGCAGACATTTAGAGCCAAGACTAAGAAAGTAAGAAGAAAACAGAGTCTTCAGGCTCCCCCTCCCTGCTTTGGCTGCCATTTCCTGCTTCCACCCCAGGGGGATGCAGCACTGAGGCACAACGCCTATTGCTGAGGATGAGTCTGAGTGATGTGGTGGGGAGGAGGAGACTGGAGCCACATGGGGAGCAGATTGCATCCCTCTGGGGTGGCAGTGTGGGCTGCCCGCACACACACACATGCACATTGCAGTAGGAGGTGAGAATTTGCTTGCAAGGTGCAGCCATGTGCAGCTGCATGGGCAGTGTGTGAGCATACAATGCAGCAATGGGGCCTGGTACAGTGGTGGGAAGTGATGACCACATAGGCACATGGAGTAGAAGGCGGGGGAGTGTTACCACAGATGGCAAACCAATGGCCTGTGGCTCATTTGGTGTGTCCAGATAGTGTGCGGCCCCAGGGGCTTAAAAGTTGGACAGCCCTGAGATGGATAATCCCCCAGTACATAGGGATTCATAATAATTATACTGGATTAGATTATACTTGATCAGCTAAGAACATAGTCTAGTTTTTCACTTTAGGATCAACATCACCTTGAATCTAATATATTCAATGGACAGCCCACATATGCAGCCAGGCATAGGCCATCCCATCCTTACATATTCAGATATAATCCAAGATAGCCAACCATGTCTAGAATAAAAATGCAACAGCATATTTAATATAGGCTAAGTCTATACAAGCTCTGGAGTAAGCACCATGAGCACCTTTGCTTGAAAATCAGACAGTGTAGTTCAGTCCTATCAACTATGCGTAGGCCTGAGCAGCACTAAGCATGTGCACCAGAACCATACTCAGGCCTTTTAGGTATAGAGCCTCAGGGCTGCTCTAAAGATGTTGTTACATCACTTAAAATGGTTCCAGTTAAAGCATGAAAGCTTGTGCTAAGTGCCTCTGAATATCTCAAAGTTACACCACTTTGGGCAAGGGTTATCGTTAAGTCATATTGCCTAGCTCATGCTACAGTAACATCAGAGATAAAACAGCCAATTTACAGTCCTCCAGCATCCCAGAAAGCACCCTTCTCAACCCCCTCACTCCTGCTCCATCCAGCCTTTGCCTCTCCCCACTGCTACAGCCCCCATGCACAGCAGAGACATCCTGACTCCTAGCCACACCCTGCTCACTGGCCCTCCAGGAACAAGTTAGAGCTGTGCAGATCAGAACTGGTGCTAAGCTTTAACATGCAACTGAAGTCTGATGAAAACTAGATCAGGGCAGATTTGCAGTGTCACACTGCAAGCTAAGGATTTCAAAGATGAGTGGAGAACATAAAAATTCTGCTAATAAATTATATGCAATTACAAATCTCTTTAAAGACTTTTGCAGCTAAATAAGCCAAGGGATATGTTTTTGTTTCAAAACCATTCTGAAACAAGATGATGAAGTCCAGACAAAAGAGCTGTATCAAGTTCCTCTGATTTGCTACATATTTATAGACTACTGAGAAAGTAGTCGATAAAGAGAATTAATTCCTAATTTACATATTCTACTAATAAAGTAGCAAGGTCTTACAGAACAAACACAACAGCTGCAAATTGTGTAATTATGTATCTATATGCAAATTTTCAGACATCTCATAAATGCTGGAATAGTATTTGCAATGCTAATTAAGTGCCTTTTATTGGTGCTGCATAATTCCTACATGTGATTCTGTGCCAGATGTCACTGTAGTTTCTGAAACCTTTATTGTCAGGTTAGCTGAGGTAGCACACATTAACATTGTTCATAAAAACTCTAATTTTAATTAAATTACCTGCAGTTTCCCAATGATTTTTCATTGTCTTCTTCCTGTCCAAGCCAGGTTTGTTTGGGTTTTTTTGTTGGTTTTTTTCTTTTTGCAGTTGTAGAAATGCATCACAACTTCTTCATCCATAAAAATCTCCTGCTTTCCATCCCAGGCAAGACAAAAATCAAGCTGGGTTTCATCTATAGAAAGCAAGAACAGTTCTTCAATAAATGGAACCTAGAAGAAAATAAAGAATTGAGCCAAAGTAAATAAGTAATACTGGCCATGAGAAATTGGTTAGTCTTTCAGGGAAAAAAGACAATTTAGAAAGTGAATTTGTGATCAACCTCCTGCGAACTGTATGTACAATATTTACAGAAGTGCTAATTAGGCCCAGCTTTCCTTCTTCAGTCCTTTCAATAAAAAGTAGGCACCTCTCCAAAAGCCATATGCATGGGTGGGAATGGCAAGGAAGGGTTGATAGTTGAGAGAAATGAAAAGGAAGCTTGCTTATCTCAAATGAAATAAAACACATTGTTAATTTATATTCTTGTTTTTGTTTTGTTTTGCGGGGGTTTTGCATGTATAAAAGATTCAGGCAAGACAAAGCCAAAATCAACCAACAAAACAAGGATTTCCCTTCTAATAATGGCTCATGGAAGGAATAAACACTCGAAAAATTCATGAGGGCCTTACATCAGGACCCTAGGTCAGAACTCCTCATCTGAGAATCAAGAGAAAAAGATCAGTTTACAGATGCTCTAATCCCCTCTTTCCCGCTCATTTTTCTAATCCCACTTAAATAGCCCAGGCCCAAGGTAGGACACCTAAGTACAAATGGTATGCCTCCTTAGTAATGTTGGATACTAAACACACTGTCCAGGTGCTTCTTTCATAGCAAACTAGAGACATTACCCATCCATGAGTAATAGAATAAGTCTTCTAGTCATACTCAGCTTTCTGGAGATAGGGACATCAAAGGTGAAGCTTGCCACTGAGCCGTGTTTCTTCCTCCATAGTCTGCTGGGTAAGCAGCTTTTCCCAGGTCTACCTGAATTGTGCTGTCTGCAGGAATTGCTGAACAATCAGCTTCAGTTTCTGAAAGTGGCACTTTAGGTTGTTCTCTGCCTGTTCATTTTTTGAATAGCCAGAGGATCATCTCTGCAAGAAGGAAGGGATCCAGACAACTGCTCTGCCAATCCATAAACCATTTTAAATAAGAGGAATCCAAACTCATGAAACAAATGTATCCTATTAATATGGTTCAAGCCTCTCATTCAGTAATTCTAATCTAAGCAAACAAAAATGTCTAAGTCCAGTCAGGAGCGAAACAAAGATTGGGGGGGGGGAAGGGGGGGAGGGGAGAGGAGTACACCAGAACAACCAACCACTTTTCATTTTCCTATTCATTTTCCTTTTCCAGTTTAAATAAAATATGATACTAAAGTAGCGGGGAGCAGGAGTGGGGGATGCCCTATATTACACTCAAGGTGTTTTGGCTGTCCCTTAAACTTCTTCACAGATCTAGGGGCACCTACCTGCATCTATTAAACAACAGGGTCCTTTATGTCAGTAGCTATACAATCAGGCAGTAGAAGCACAATCCTGAAGTCTTTACAGTATTTAGTATGTCAAGAAGTCAGTAGTATAGGAGACAAATAAATGTTAAGAGAAAAGGGAAAGACAAAATAATAGAGAAGTAAGCAATTTGCCACATATTCATTGGAGGTGTCTCACGTAGCTGGTCTCTGAAATCTCAACTCTTCCTCCTTCAGATAAGAATATTTTCTGTATCTAACACAGGTAAAATAATAAAATCCAGATCAGAATTTTTTAAACGGCTCAGCACCCGCAGCTGAAGCCAGATTTTCAGATAGCCTTAGTTCCCATGTAGGCAGGAAAATATGAGGCCAGATTTTCCAAAAAGACCAGAATGGTGGATCTTAAGTGTGTTTAAAAATCTGGTGATGCCTGATTTGCTTGGATCTTCCTAAAAACTGATTTTTCTGTTAAATATAATGAAAGCTGAACTATTTTTGAAAATGACTCCAACTATGGGTGCTGAGCATGGAAAAGTCTGGTCCTGAGTTTTTTTAAAGAATCTGGCCCGTGCTTGGGCATGGAAGGAAAAGAGGAGGCTAGTGGAATGAGCAGAATGTATTTCCTCTGGAGTAATTCCAACTCTTCCTGATGGAAAGATGGACATTTAGAAACTGCCATCACAATATCAAATGCAGACCTCTAGCAGAGTGGTGCTAATTACTACCATTGGACCAGTAGGTCAGAAAAGTCCAAGAATAAATCATTTGAGTCAAAAATCAATTTGAATTTAAATTTAATTTTTTTTTGTATAACAATTGCATAGTTTTGCTATACAAAAAGTCTATGCAAGACAAAAAATGTTAAATATGCATATATCAGATGCAAATAACTGAATGTCACAGACCCGTGTCCTTGAAATTCAAGATATTGCCTCTGCAACATCCATCTATATTCTTGTGTTTTCTCATTTTTCTAGTGTAACTTTTTGATTATTCAACCAGATTAGTAATGGCTTGAGCTGCAGCATAAGACATTTTGAAAAATTATATGATGCAGAGAAAAACACAGCCTACGAAAGCTACCATTTTCAAACTCTGTCTTTGGTCCCCTCCCTAGCTCTCTCTACATTTTTCTCTGGACAATCCTATTCACAAGCCAAATTCAATATATTTTAGGCTTTTGATTCTCAGGGGGTTGTTACACATTAACTTAAATACATGTTAACGGCCCTTAAAGCAGGAGTATCCACACATTAGGGCAGTAAAATGCATGCTAAGGGCCATCTGAATGGCTCAAGAATTATCCTTTTCCACTGAGGATTATCTCTAACTGGTTTTGGGCAATTCATGTATTCACTGCTCCACAGGCCCAAACCAGTTGGGAACAGTCCTCCAGTATCCCAGGAGGCACCACTCCCAACCACTCTATCTTCCCCCAAAATGAAAGCAGAGGAGCACCTAAAGGTAACTCCTCCCCCCCCCCCCCTCCCCCCCCCCCCTTCCAAAGGCAACCCCCCCCCCCCCCCCCCTTCACTCCAGGCTCTAACTTGTCTCTGGGGTTCTGCAGCCTCTTTTAATGATGTCCCTTATGAATGCCCAGCCATCAGTAAAAACTCATCTGTCCAAAAATAGGTTTCTAGGGACAGATTGTATTCCAACTATTAGGCATCCAAGTGTGATCCTATTCCATCCTGCTCAAGTCCCTTAAAAACAGTAACATAAAAGTACATGGGTCGTCCTCCTGTTCATGGCTTTCTGTAACTTATTTTTCAGTCCAAGATGAAGAAGATATCTTACAAAAGTTGTTTTATTAACATTTTTCAGGGACTTGAGCAGGGTGGCCCTATTAAACTTCCCTAAAAGCCTTTTCCTACACCCACACATTTATCAGTCATTGTGAATACTGCCACCATCCTCCCTATCATACAAACACATAACCTGAGCAGGATCTTCAGTTTGACATCACATCCTCATATTCAGGGTCCATCTAATTCATGCTTCTTCAACCTGCATAGCATCCCTAAGATATGGCTTGTCTCACCATCCATACAGCTAAATACATAATCAAGGTTCTCATCCTTTTAAGTTGTGATTGATACAATTTTCTCCCGTTGTAACCTTGACAAATGCAAACTTGACTCATGCAGCCACTGAAAGAGCATGGTTCGTTGCTTCAGCCACAACCATCCCTTAACTGAGTTCTTCCTCCAGCTTCCCATTCTCCACCGCATCAAAAACAAGTGATTCATCTTCACTCTAAAAGGCCTTCACAACCTAACTCCATATTCCTTGTCATCTCTTAAATGCTATGAAAATGTAATGCCCACTTCCTCACTGACAATGGTGCCAGCCTACTCCCCATCAAATAAGCATCTTTGCAACTTCTCCATTCCATCTTCATGCACATGCAAATAATACGTAAAATAAGCCATTATAAATCATAATACTTAGGTACCCAAAGTTGCACATCTAAGTACATTCTTAAGCAATTCAATAAATAATGTAATTTCAAAGAAATGCCAACAGCATCTGCATATACCCAGCACTCCTGTAAATCAGGCTCCTTACTTGAAAGCCTATATATCAATTTAAATACCTAATTTTAAGCAATCAAGTTTGAAACTCTAGGCCATCTGTAATAAATATTTCCACTCTAGTATACAAGTCATTCCTTGATGTTGGTCCAATTTTAGTAGTTATTTCTAATGTGATCCTATCAATCATTTTGCTTCATTGTTAAAAGATCAATTACAAATTGTAAACTGTTGCATTAATATCCTGCTTATTTACTTTCCCTTGTTTGTTCATCGTTTATCAGAATGCTTGTCTTACCATGTTTTTTTGAGCTTTGGTTGTTGTGTGGATATTATTTTGTTCTAGGATGCTGATTGCACCCAATTTTTCTTTCTCTCAAGATACCTTATATGAAAGGCAAAATATTCAACATACAGGCTGCATACAGACATTCAGGGGGATTCAGGGAGGTTACGTTGTGTTAAAAATGGCCACCCAGTCTAACTTAGTTTGCCCAGATATGGGCCTTACACTTTGAGCCCTAGTTAGGTCTGTGGCAGAAATGCCACCGTCTGTGTCCCTCTCCAGAGATCTGTCTTTGCCAGCGTGAGAGGCTGGTGTTGAATCCCTCAGGGTGGGGGATCTTCCCCCCTTGTCTACATGACAAAAGCCTGGTGCCTTGGAGGCGGATGCTCTGGTCACCTGGGAAGGGGGAGGGAAAAGCCCCGCTCACCAGCCTAGGTAGCCAGTGATGGTTTTTTAGTTTGGTTGGCTTGTGGCCAGCACTGGCAGCCTCGATTGGACCGGGCTGCTGAGGTCAGAAAGGTTATTTAAAGGCCCGGGCCAGGAAGAAGGCAGCCATTAGCCATGCGGTCATCCAGGTGAATCTGAAACTGGCTCTCTCTTCATAACCGCATGCTCCAAGAGTGACCTGCCTCCAGAGGGAAACTCCAGCCACCTCTGGATGATGCGTGTGAGTAAGCTACTCAAGATCAGACTAGATATTTAGCTTACAGTAACTCAGATGCGTGATCAAAAGGCTACCTCAGCCATAATGGTTTGCTGTATGGGATTCCTCTGAGATTCCTCTGATATTGCTCTACCTTTTACCCTGTTTTCACCCTACCCCCTGTAATCAGTAAAGTTCTCCTTTGTGACCAGTGTGGGAGACTTATTGAGGGG